GGATTTTGCAATATATCCTTCCCCTGCCACGCCCACCAAGCCACACCCACAGAACCCATAGTAAAAAAAAATGTATCCCACCACTGGCTCTATCTAACAAAATGCAATTCAAAGGTGAGAAAAATAAGGTGCTACATTTAGGCAAGAAAAACCAGATGCCCAGAGAGAGAAGAGATCAGGTGTCGCCAACTTTTTCGACCTCAGGGACCACCAAACTCATAATTTTAAATCCCGCGGACCAGAGACCCTGGGAAAATCCCCCCAAAAAGTCTGCAGGAAATTTTTTTTATTTATTTTTTTATTTTTATTTATTGATTTGATTTGATTTGTCAATTGCTTACAAGATAATAGGTATAAGTAAAAACATAGTTATGGATACATATAAGAAAAATAAAAAAAAGAATCAATAGGACAGGGACGGTAAGCACGATTGGTGCGCTTATGCACGCCCCCTACAGACCTCTTAGGAAAGGGGTGAGGTCAATAGTAGACAGTCTAAGGTTAAAGGTTTTGGGGTTTGGGGAAGAAACCACAGAGTCAGGTAGAATATTCCAGACATTGACCACTCTGTGGCTGAAGTCGTATTTCCTGCAATCAAGTTTGGTGCGGTTTACTTTGAGTTTGTATCTATTGTGTGCTCTTGTGTTGTTATGGTTGAAGCTGAAGTATTCATCGATAGGTAGGACATTGCAATGTATGATTTTACATACTATACTTAGATCGGATCGAAGGCGGCGTAGTAATCCCCCACCGTGTTTTCCTACCGATCGATGCTTCTTTATTTGGGATAGCAGGATACCGTCTCCAGCTCCGTCTCAGGGAGAGAGAGAGAGACTTTTGGCTTCATGCAAGGAAAGCAGCAGAAGCCGCTGAAGTCTTTCTTTCTCTCCCCCAAACTCCGCCAGGAATGAGTCTTTGCCGGCGCAGCCTCTTGGGGCAGGAGGCCTTGCAGGGTCCCAAAGACTCATTTCTGGCAGAGTTTTGGGGAGAGAAAGAAAGACTTTGGCTTCTTTCCTTGCGTGCAGCCAAAAGCAGAAGAAGAAAGAAGCGGAAAGAAGCAGCTGGGTGGCCAGGCCAGGCACCTGGGGCGAGCGGGGCAAGTTCCCCCCCCCGCCCTTTCCCCCCTCCCCTCACTACCTCATGTTCACAATGCAAGCGACACAAGCCTTGTGTTCCCAGGGCCATGTGGGCAGCGCAGCCTTGTGTTCCTGTGCAGCCTGGATTAATTGCTTTGGGGGGGGAGGACATTTCTCTGCGGACCAGCAAAATTTTCTCACAGACCACCAGTGGTCCCCAGCTCACTGGTTGCCGGCCACTGGAATAGATGGTCCCTGGCTCCATAGCAGGAACTGGGAGAGGGATCTCGGAGTCCTAGTGGGAAATCGCTAGCTTAAACATGAGACAGCCGCGTATGGTGGCAGCCAAAAAGGCGAATGCAATCCTGGGTTGTATAAACAGAGGCCTAGAATCAAGATTGCGCGACGTTCTTAGTACCATTTTATAAAGACTTAGTAAGGCCACACCTGGACTCCTGCAGCCAGTTTTGGTCACCAGGATATGGAAAAAAATTTAAAAAAGGATGCTTCAGGCGATGCTCCAATTGTTTTGGGAGGGCCCCCCAAGGCACCTGGGACAGTTTGAGCGATGGTTGCCTTCTTGGGCCACACTTGTTCTGCCTCTATTTGCAGATCTTTGTGTATTTTGTGATCTCCTCCAGTTCTTTCTCTCCTCTTCTGCGGTCTCTAGGCACTGTCCTGTCCCCTGGGCAGACTTTTGGGTCTTTCTGATCCCCAATGGTTAAGTCTGGCACCCGTTTCTATGGCCAGATTTATTTGCCATCCGCCTCGTGGTCCAAAACGGTTCCATAGATGCAGGATCTGAGCAATGGTGATTATAACAATGCCTGCCTTTTCTCATCTCCCTCGCTCCTTCCTTCCTTCCTTCCTTCCTTCCTTCCTTCCTTCCTTCCTTCCTTCCTTCCTTCCTTCCTTCCTTCCTTTTTCTTTCCTTCCTTCCTTCCTTCCTTCCTTCTTTCCTTTTTCCTTCCTTCCTTCCTTCCTTCCTTCCTTCCTTCCTTTTTCTTTCCTTCCTTCCTTCCCTCCTTCCTTCCTTCCTTCCTTCCTTCCTTCCTTCCTTCCTTCCTCCCTCCCACCCTTCTTCTCTCCCATCTCCCTCCCTCCTCCCTCCCTCCCTCCCTCCTTCCCTTCCGTCTTCCTTCCTTCCTTTTTTCCTTCTCCCTCTTTTTTCCTCCCTCCTCTTCCCTCCCTCCCTCCTCCGCATTCCCA